GTGAACGGAAGCAAAATTTTGCGACCGGAGCTGTTTGTGAACCGAATTGTTCGTGAACAGAAGCGTTCGTGAACCGAGGTACCACTGTATTTGTAAATAAATGGTTTTCAATCTAGAGCGAGTATTCCCCAGACGTGATTACATACAACTTGTATCTCCTCAGCCAACCAGCCTTGTAATTTGCTTTCCCCCTATTTGCCTGGAGCACATGACTATTGTTCCATATTGTAATCACCTAAGTGGCAGGTTTTACAAGTCTGTGGTAGTTGCCTATGTAGCATATTTCATTTTCCTGTCTTCTCATTAAAATGCTCAGTTCTGCCAGTGTTTAATTCTGCTTTCTTTTCTCTATCAGTTTTTAAATAGTTTTACTATTTAAAATAGTATATAAAATAAAGAATTCTGTTCAGTAAAGTATGAATAAATATTTGTAATTAAATGACTTAATACATGATAAAGTTGGTGCACTTTCTATCATTCCTTGGTCCAGTCATACAGCTGGAAAACTTTTTCATGCATTCAAAAACTCTAACACGCATATCCCATCAAGGAGGTCTCTAGCATCCTGAATGTATATCAGTACAATGCATGTATCTCATACTTGGAAAGATATGGGCAATGGTATGTTGGCTTGCATGATAATTTTTAGTTTAGCAATCCCAGCTTGCATAGAATAACTTGACTGTGCTTGGGATAAAACTGAGCTTTAGTTGTGGTTGTATCATACTAGTCAAAATGTCCTTAATATTAGTAGGAAATGCTTCACGTGGCACAGATACAACTGAGGCTAGAAATCCCGTGCCATTCTAACAAAATGTTATGTGAAAGCCTAGATTCACGAAAGCCATGATAGGTGGCAGAGGACAATGTCTGATGATGACCATGGCATGTGGAAGAGGAGTATATGGTAAAGACCCTGAATTAATTAATGATGTGAAAGAAATAGAAAAATAAGTGTTTTTGTATGTATGATACTAAGAGACAGGGTAAGGATATAACAGACCTGGATGAACTTCTGACCTTGTAGAGTAGAATTTATGGTTATATGTGGAGTGGTAAAAGTGTTAGTTTAATTATGGATAAAAGAGCTTATGAATTGGGCTATTTAGGTTGTTTCAGGTATGTATGAAAATAGGAAAGTAGGAATCTACAGGGTGGGGATAGTTGCTTATTATTCTCCAGTGAATGGAAGAACCAGAAAGAAGTCTTGGGGGAAACTGCAATATTCTGAATCAGTGCAATCGGGGGGGGGGGGATTATTTTCGGAAATATGAATAGGTGGGTGGGACCAAGATGAGGGAGTATTTATTATTATTTTTTTATTTATATTTCAAATTTGTCACCACTCATCTCATTGCAGAGTATAGAAAAATGGTAGGGCCATTCAGAAATGAATGGATAAGAATAGTGATTAGATGATGAGTATCTGCTTAGAAAAATATCTGTTTCTTTTTAGTAACCAGTTTACACCTAAATGTATTCATGTGTACCTACACAAACATTTTTTTCCTA